ATTCTTGCTATTCTGCAAATCAGCCAGAAATAACATAATCCCATTTCTACACACTTGCCACGTTCTCTGTGAATCAAGGTGAGGGTGGCAAAATGTCCAGTGAAGTGTCATCGACAGTATCTCTTGCAAACACCAACCACAAGAATACATTTACTTTCCTATCTCACTCTCTTCTCCTCCCTCGCTCTTCACTCTGTTTATTCAGGTTTTCCCTTCATAAAGATAGGCATCAAATTAAAAATTTCCCGAAAGGTAGGTCAAATAAACTAAAGTCAATATGAAGACCTAAAAAATAAAGAATAAAAAAAATAGCAATCATCTTTCTAAGGAGAAATATAGTACTTCCCAAAACTCTCAAGTTTGGAAAAATTGGGGAGAAATTTAAATATATTCTCTGCTTATTTTCAATAACTTTTAAGCCTCTAAAGCCAGTTTGTTAATTTACAAACACTGAAGAATCTTAATATATCTGGCCTACTCACCAAAGTATTAGGCTTGGGGTACTACAATAACATTGTACTGTGTCCAAACAATAATCATAATCACAAATTTACAATTAGAATTAATTTTCTATTATTAAAAGTCTTAAAAATATTCCAAAGTAGAGAGAATAGTATAATATGCTATCGAGCCTCAAACATTCTCAACATATGACTAATTTTGTTTCATCTATGCTTTTATTCTCTCTCCAATCTCCATCATCTCAAAGCAAATTCCAGATGTATGATCTCCTGAATTAACTTTATTCCAACATTTTATTATGATGGACATCCAGAATGCTTCCAGTTTGGAGCTTTTATGAATAAAGTTGGCAAGAGTATTCTTGTAAAAGTCTTTTACAAAGGTCAGTTTTTACTTCAGTTGGGAAAAACCCAGGAGTAGAATTGCTGCGTCATGAGTAGTTATCTGTTTAGGTTTATAGGAAACCACCCAGGGCTTCTTCCAAAGTGCTTTGGTGTGGATGAGAGTCCTAGATGCTCCAAATCTTCACCAATATTTGGTGTTAGTAACTGAACATTAACTATTCTAATAGATGGGTTTTGTTAAATTGATTTATAAATGCTTCTAAATTTTTTGTGTGTTTTAAAAACTACTAAACTACATAATTTCACAGACCTTATTTTGGGTTAGTTTTTCAGGGAAAAATGTGTTTAAAAAATAATTAAAACTATATTAAAATACACCAATATGTAATTCTCTTTGTATCACTAACGAAAAGCATTTCTGCTGTAATGCAACACATATATTACTGAAAAGCTGTACAGAGCACAAAACTGTGGAGTTAACAAATAAGATATCTCAGCCATGAAGAAGGATGAATTAAGGCCTTTTGCAACAATCTGGATGGAAGCAGAGACCATTATCCTAAGTGAAGTATCTAAAGAATGGAAAAACAAACACCACATGTACTCACTATCAAATTGGAACTGATGAGCAAAAAATAAAACATAAGCTATATAAGAAAAGGAGAGTTAAAACAACCACTAAAAACCTATGTGGCTTTGTAAATAGAGTACAAACAAAATAACAACAATACTAATGATGGTATCAGTGCCATTAAATCTCTATAGGCATGTCCACTAAAAGCCACTGTCAGATGATACATTTCAGCCTTTTTTCCTTCTTCATAAGAGCATACAACTTTCAAGACAGATCAGTTTTGTCAAAACTAAATATTAGATCCAGGGAAAGCTAATTCCATCAATCAATTATTAGAACATGGAGGAGAAACACCTCCGCACCTTTTTCGTTCATGCCCACAGCTTCATCATCACAGCTCTGGGGAAAGTGAAGCAGCTCTTCTAACCAGCTTCTTTCATTAAAGGAAGGTACTGCAGGATTTTCAGCTTCTTTCTCAAAATACTCATACTTTCCCTTTAGTCATTATCACATCTTTGTTCAGCCCAGAACATCAGCATGCTGGGGAAAATTGCACATTAACCAACAGCACAATTTGTATTTTACACTGACATTACTCTTTCTCTGTCTGATGACGTATGAGCCAGCTCACATCAAGGAAACATATAGGCTGGGTGTGCTGGCTCACGCCTGTAATCCTAGCACTCTGTGATGCTGAGGTGGGAGGATCGCTTGAGGTCAGGAGTCTGAGACCAGCCTGAGCAAGAGTGAGACCCTGTCACCACTAAAAATAGAAAAAATTAGCCGGGCAACCAAAAAAATTAGAAAAAATTAGCCAGGTGTGGTGACACATGCCTGTAGTCCCAGCTACTTAGGAGGCTGTGGCAGGAGGATCGCTTGAGCCCAGAAGTGTGAGGTTGCTGTGAGCTAGGCTGACATCACAGCACTGTTAGCCTGGGCGAAAGAGCAAGACTCTGGATGGGGAAAGCCCATTTTCAAAAAGAAACCCAAAACTCGCTGAATTTAACTTCTGCTCCATGAAACTTTGTCCAAACTGTCTCCTTTCTTGGTAGTAGTTTCTATTTCTTCTGAGGCTTTTTTTTTTCCATGGACTTGGGAAAACTCAAGTTTCCTCTAGATTGAGATAAACTTCTCTGACTTTTCCAAATTTTGACATATATCAAAATGCAGACTGGTTTTTTTTTTTTTTTACAGGAATCTGAAGCAGGTAAAAAGCAACAATCAGACTATGAGTTTGAAGCCCTCACAATCACAAATGTCATGAGGTAATCTGCAGAATCCTAGACAGCATTCTTGGAATTAACAACTGTAATTTTTAAAATTTCTTCAACATTTTAAACTGCTATTCTAACATTAGGTTCTCATAATACTCACACTGCAATTAAATCAAAGATTGCTTTAGGTTTAGTACCGCAAATAATTGTTACCCATTTGTCAGTGTTCTTCACTGATACTTTTTGTATAAATACCCTCCCCCATTCTGCCACAATTTTACTTAAGAGCAGCATTCCAGAACTTGATCAATTTTTAGCCTGACCTCCAGGAAGCATCTAGTGTGAAAAGCCATGTGTACATCATACACAAGATTACCCCAGAGTATTGTGTGGGCCACCATGGGAGGTGACGATCCACCAAAGCAGCAGCAATGAGACAAGCTCCAAATGAAAAACATCAGAGAGCTGTTTGTAGAGTCTTCATCACACTCATCCTCACTTATATCCCTGAAAGGCATATAAATACCTGCAGGACATGCTTGTACCAGGATATGTTTGGACAGCCTCACATCATTTGAAAATGCATATTCAGGGGAAAAATGCAAACTATGTTTTATTAGCATAAATTGAAGTGTGGAGATATTTTTTAATAAGCTAAAAGCTAATACTGATTGCCGTTTATGCTAAGAGGAAAAATAAATAGCGTACAGAGGCAAATTTGCACAAAACCAATCGGCCAAAGTGTGCACAAATTAGGGAAGAACATTTCCTCAGAAGTTACTAAAAATAATTCTCCATTTTTATGGGTGCCACCTTCAGTGCTAAAGCTGAGTAACCTGTAAACAAACTGTAAAATATTGTTTGAAAGTCTGAATTCAGACAAACAAATTCTTAACTTTAAATGAAAAAGGGACATATGTATGTGTACATGTGTGTTTGTGTTTTGGTTCTTTTGTGAATCAAAGTATCACAGGTAAGCAGGATCTAGTTTACAATGTCCTTTCAGTTCTCAAACCTTTAGATTTGTTCCTTTTATATTATAACTTTTTATTTTTAAATAATTTCAGACTTCTGGAAAGGTTGTAAGAAGATTACCAAAATCTCCATTTTCCCTTAACCCAGATTCCTCAAATGTTAACGTTGCAGAAGGGATACTCTTTTATCCTTAAATACTTCGGACTGAATTTCTTAAAAACCAGGACATTCTCTTACATAATTATATACAAGTATAAATGTTAGGAAATTAACATTCATTGACAATACTATTGTCTAGTCTATAAACTTTATTCAGATTTTTCCAATTGTCCCAATAATGTCCTGTATAACAAAAGAAAATCGTGAATCATGAGTTGCATTCAGTTTTCATGTCTCTTTAGACTACTTTAATCTAGAACATTTCCTCAATGTTTTATCTTTTATGACAGTGACATTTTTGAAGCATAAGAGAGTTATACTGCAAAAATTTGGGTTTGTCTGATGTTTCCTCAAGATTAGATTCAGGTTGTGCTTTTTTGGCAGGAGTACCAAAGAAGTGATATTGTGTACTTCTCAGTGCACCCTATTAGGAGGCATGTGATATCAGTTTATCCCTTTAGTGATGATAGAGACTTCGATCACTTGGTAAAATGATATCTGATAGGTTTCTCCACTGTAAGGTTACTATGTTCCTTTTGTAATTCATAAATATCTTATAGGGAGATACTTTTAGACTATGTCAATATTCTGTTTCCATTAATTTTTTACCCATTAGTTTTAACAAAGATTTTTTTCCTTAATTCCCCACTTTCCAGAACTTTCCAAGTAAGTTTAACATTAAGCTTCTTTTATGTAATCTCTACCCTAATAAATGTATGTTACAGCCAGTGTCTACTCTGCTCTCAGTTCTCTGACGCACAGTTAAGATCTCAGGAATCCTCTAGGTCAAGACGACAAAAGGAAATCCAATCCATCTTTTTTTAATATGAAAATAGTAGTGTACCCTTGAGGGATTCTATCATGGCAGTTGAGAGCTACATAGCATTCCTTGTCTCCAGTGCTCAGGAAACAATGATCCAGTATTGTTACAGAGTTTTATATCAAAATTCCTATATTTCACAGTTTAAAGAAATCATTTTGAAAAGTAATATATGTCTAGTAGCAATAATGTAAACACTTCTTAAACACTTTTCTTTTAAATATTTCAAATGTTATCTTCTTTTTAGAAAAGATCTCTCTCCCCCACAAGAGTTGTCAGGTGAATCTTTTATCCCCGCTTTTATTCATCCACCCTTCCCCCTTCAAAGCTCTTTCTCCTCCCCTACTCAAGACCTTGTAGCCTACACTGGAAGCAATCTGGTGAAACCTGTCAGAAGGTGGAAGGATGGATAAGCGCTCTTCTAGTCCTAGATTCTATAAAACTGTCCTTACCTGCTGTGGAAAACAGGTGCGGACTGAGTGCTCTGTGTAACCAAAAGATGGCCCTTCAAAGACAGCTGTTGGGAGCTTCAGAACTTCCTTCAGAAACTGGTCAAACTTGCTAAATATCATTAAGCCATTGGAATCTGACATCTGGGAGAAAACATCTATGAGAACAAAACCAAATAAAGTCAAACTCTAAGGAAATATCAGCTTTTTAATAAATGGCTCTATGTCATTTGTATACTAGTAAAAAATTATTATAAAGTTATTATGATTTTTAGTTAATATTAAAACTATTCTCATTCTTATTAATAACACTGTGTGGTTACTATGCTGACAAGACCCCTCTCTCCCACTCTCTTAACACTAATCATCACTGAACATCAGATCAATAACCATCCATGTATGTCTACCCACCTACTCTGAGTTTTTATAACTGGATAATATATAACTTTTAATTTTATTTGTTTATACTTGACACTTTGTTCCCAAAAAGAATCTGTCGCAACATACCTTTATCTCTTAGTATCTGTATATTGTTTATATAATACATGCATGTTTGAGTATATGAATATATTAGCATACTGGTGATAAGGTATGAAGGAAACTATATTTGTATATTCATATACTGATGATATATACCTGTGAAGGAATAAATCTGAAAACAATAGAATATGTTTACAATATTTGCTCTAATGAGTTCCAAAGTAGAATTAAAAAATCTCATCTAAACTCTTCTATTCCAAGATATTTTGATATTCTTCTATTCCAAGATACTTTGATACTATTTTTACATTAACTGGGGCTAAGCAGACAGGAAAGAAGTTTCCAGTAATACTAGTACTACTTTATCTTCTTGCAGAGAGTTCATGTCTGCAGTTATTCCTCTCTTCTCATCCATAGTTGGAGAGAAAAAGAAAAATAACAAGGAGCTCAAAAACAACAAAGAAATGTGACCTAAGCTGTTTTTCAAACCATTGAGCTGCTTTACAAACAAATTAGTAAGTTAAATATTCCCAAAAAATCATTTCCAGAGGACTCTTCCAACATAGCATTTTGAAAATTCATATTCTATATATTCATAGTGAACAGGTATATTAGAGATCTATATCTATATAATAGACATATGTAATATACATATATGCATTACTCTTTTGGTTCAAGTTGGGGAATTTATCCTAAAGCATTAGATAAAGACATTTTTAAATACATTAATCAAAGAAAGATAAAATGTTAAGTTATGAACTCCACAGGGTAATTTTTAAGGCATTAGAAAACAGTAAATTACCAAAGGAATGAAAATCTTCAGTGTATCTTCTCATGATAGCTGCTAGCATAGCTGAAGAAAAAATACTAAATGTCCATATGGGGGGGGATCCAATAAGAGAAGTATAGCCCTAGTAGAAAGTGAAATCAACTAATTAGAAATATATACTAAGTTCCTATTATGTGGTCCAAGTGTCAAGCACTGTTAGGTGTTTTGAAGCACAACAAATAAGTATGATACGTGGTCCTCATCCCCCAAGAAACTTTCAGTGTAGCTGCAAAAAATAAGATATATATAAAATGAAGAATTAAGAGCTAAACTGACTCTAAACACAACAGAAAGAATAGAGGCAAAAAGATACTTGTTAAGCCCCACCATGTGCCAGGGATCATGATAGGTAACTATGCTGAGTCTGCCAGTAGCCACATTATCCTCTTCTTCCTTAGTAACAGAACACTAATTTTTATTTTATGCAGCAATGTACCCAACTAACAGATTAAACATCTCAGCCTCCTTTTAGCAAGCTGTGGTCATGTGACTAAGTTCTGGCCAATGAGATTATAAGCACAGGGTTGTAGGAACTTCCAGGAAGACTAGTTAAAGAAAGCTAAATGAGCTGGAAAGCATGCCATTTTTTCATTATTCTCTTCCTCCTTCAGCTACCTGGAATGCAGCTATGATGGCTGGAGCTCCAGCAGCCACCTTGGACTATGTGGTAATCTCAATCTTGATATAGAAATTATACACTAGAATGTCACAAAAAGGAAAAACAAAGAAAGCTTGAGTCCCAGATGAACATGAAGCCACCATACCAGCCCTGGACTACCTACCTCTGAACTTCTCTTATGTAAGAGAAAAATAAACTTCAACATCATTTATGACATTATTATTCTGCGATTTTGCTTTCATGCAACAAACCCTAATACTAAGTGTTACCATACTTTATCAAACATTACCTCATTTTACTCTCATAAAGAGGTGTGAGGCTGGGCGCGGTGGCTCACACCTGTAATCCTAGCACTCTGGGAGGCCGAGGCGGGCAGATTGTTTAAGCTCAGGAGTTTGAAACCAGCCTGAGCAAGAGCGAGACCCCGTCTCTACTAAAAATAGAAAGAAATTAATCAGACAACTAAAAATATATAGAAAAAATTAGCCGGGCATGTTGGCGCATGCCTGTAGTGCCAGCTACTCGGGAGGCTGAGGCAGAAGGATTGCTTGAGCCCAGGAGTTTGAGGTTGCTGTGAGCTAGGATGACGCCACGGCACTCTAGCCCGGGCAACACAGTGAGACTCTGTCTCAAAAAAAAAAAAAAAAGAGGTGTGAGTGTGTACATGTTCACATATCTAATCATTTAAATTTTATAGATAAAGAAATTACAGCTTAGAAAGGTTAACTTGCTTAAGGTCAAAAGTTAGTAAGTGGCCAAATCAAGTTTTAAACCCATACCTTGTGACTCCAAAATAAATTCCATTATACCACACTATTTCAAAATATAATTTAGAATAGATATAAAAACACATAGGCAGGAACTGTCACAAAAGTTCTAAAAGAAAAAAATTTAGAAGGTAGGCCTTGAAAGATAGGATTTGGAAGGATAAGGTCAAAACAGGTTGGAGGCAGGGACTGGGAGACACTAAAAAAGAGTAGGATAAAAGTCTCTAGGAATGCATAGAGTGCCGCTGTTATCAGTGATAAACAGAAAACAGGGCATTGAAGAGAATATTCTATGGCAAACAATATTGATAAATAAAGGAAAATAAAGATTGAATAAGAAGAGTACTTCTGTTATCAAAGAAAACTGAAAGAGGAAAGCAATTTGGATTTGGCTTAAAATCTTTTAAGGAGGTATCAAATTTCCAGAAAGCTAGGTTTCAAGAAGATTAGACTGTTATTAATGACTGATACAATAATAATAATAAAAAAAAAAGAATGAAATTGGAGATACCAGCTAGAAAACCTTGTAAACAATGCACAAATGAGATTCAGAGAGTCTGGATTATAGGAGTGACCCTATGTATGGGGAAAGGTCAAATCTAAGACATTTCAATGCAAGGAACTACAGTTGATGGCAAACAGGATTAGGGAATAAAGAAATTTTAAAAGTCAAGATTATTCTAAATTTCTAGTTGGGAAAATGCTGACAACTCTGATTGACACAAACAAATAAAAAATAATGATATTACACTTAGCGTTGAACATAACTGCATTTGAACTAATCAGCAGATTTTCAAGTGGAACCATCCTGCAGACAGTCAGAAACAAAGTATTGGGCCACAGTTCTAGACTACAGATAGAGAACTGTGAAAATGTTACCAATGACATGAATAACTAATGCTCTTCAAAGGAGGGAAGAACAAAAATAATTTAATTTTTAAATAAGTGGCTGCTATTCTTAGAATGGGAAAGTAACCATGCACTAAATCTGAATGAAAACAAAGGGTCAATATGGGAGGTGGCAGACACTACGAGGTGCCTACTCAGTATCTAGTTTCCCCTTCTCACTCACTAACTGAGCCCTGACTGTTTCTGGAATGGGAGTGTACTTGCTTAAAAAGTGAATTCCCAGCCCCCTTTGCACATTGTATCTGGGGTGGATTTCTGGAAAACCTTTTGCTTCCTAACAGAGGCACTTTTTTCCTATTTCTGTCTGGAATGAGTACATAAGGCCTGGGATAAAGTAGTCATCTTATGACCCTAAGGAAGAAAGCCATATGGCAGAACAGGAAGACAGGAAGAACTGAAGTCTTTGATGACATCCATAAGTCATGGTACCAACTCTGAATTGACCAGGCTTTGGACTTATTTTTACACGAAAAAAATAAATCCCAATGTGCTTAAGCCACTGTTAGTTAAAAGTTTTCTGTTGCCACTCAGTGTATTCATAACTGATAAACTAATAAGTAATTAACTTGTGGCCATTAATGGTAGAAATATGCAGGACCAGAGACTTCAGCTACAAGGTACATAAATATACATTTGTATAGCTTTACAATCTCAAAAATATATATGTATACACCAACACAAACAAATTTACATCTAACTCATTCAGAGTAATAAAAGGGAGTAATTGGATAGTGAAATGACTAACCACCCCCACAAAAGAAGTATCATTTTCAATTACACTTAGTTACTATGTCATATGAATAGATTCATAGCAAAAAAATTAAGTTCATAAAAAAGAAACTGTAATTTAATAGACCCATATTAGAATAAAAGAACAAGTAAAAACATGTTTATTTGTTTTAATAAGAGAAATACTACTAGACCCCAAAATCGAAGGCACAGTGAAATAATTCATTACTTCTTGAGATACTGGCTTAAAACAATATTTTGTTTTAGATAGGCTTCCCTTATCTATAAGAAAAATAATAAATATTATTGCTGATTTTTTCATCTTAAATGAAGTTTGACAATGAATCTAAGTTATTACAGTTTACCTGTGTACACATATAAAAAGATCTTACCAAAGAAGTAAATAAGACAATAACCTTTAATAAAAATATCAAAAATTAAGCTAGTCCTCTAATTAAAGCCCTAAATCCTTCTGGCATTAAAGTACTAAATTACTTCCTAGATCCCCAGTTAATTTCCCCAGTAATTCTCTATTTATACACCTCTGAAAGAAAGTATGTTAATTCCCCAATAGTTGTTTCCAGCTAAAAGGAGTAGCTTCTCCCTTGTGAAAAACTTACAATCAAGCCCTTAAATGTTAGTGTGTATACAATGTTCAAAATATTCTATCCTCTGTGCAATGGGCAAAATAATGCCACTGATCTAACAGTATTACTTATGTTTTGATTTTTGTTTTCTGGTGATAATGACCCTGGTTTTATCCATCTATCCATCTATTTCCACTCCCCTTTCATCCCCACATTACAACTGTAAACTTGTTTTGTAAGATGATAGGGCTGTTTAAAGAGTCAAGCCTATAAATGGAAAGCCGTTTTCTTTTATATATGAGCCTTCTCTGGCAAACGACTCTCATCTCCAGTCATCTTTCTATCACTGAGCAACCTAACCCACAAACGTATGTGCACACATCTGTATGTTTATAAATACTTATATACAACTAAGTCCAAGTGCTTACTGTATTCCCAAAGTCATTAATATGCCATATCATTCCCTCAGTCAAAAGGAGGTTGAGGGGCGGTATTCAGGATGACTTGGGGTTGATTCAGCCGAAGAACTACCTTTGACAAGGCTCCAGAACTTCCTTGATTTTTGTTTTCCTTCTTCTTCTTTTTTTTTTTTCCTTATTCATAAAATACAGATTTAGGGCTTATCTCTTACTTGCTTCCTGTTCTAAAACATTTTGCTTATTTGCAAAATGTAAATATGGGTATCACCCATTCAGATTCAACAGCCACTTCTCTCTAATAAGGAGAAGGGATGGTTAACACAAACCAGTGAGGATAAATATGCAGCAACAGGTGCTTAAAAGATTATAGCAGAGGAGGCTAAATTTTGAACACGTAAAAACTGTTTAACTTCAAAGGGAGGCCTTTCTACAGTATATTAATGAAACATCAAGAAAGCAAATAATCCAAATGTGAGAACAGGCCATTCTGGGAAAAAAATAGGTAGAAAGAACCTCAGGACATCTTTCTCTGGCTACTGAAAGTGTAGTCTATCAAAAACATGCAAAAAATAAATAATATACATTATTATTATTATAAAACCATTGTGTTACAACCCAGAGAAAATCCCTGTTATCTTTATGGTGTATTTCTTATTTTTCTATGTGCATAACAAAGTTTTGTTTAAAACCATATTACATTTACACATTGTGATCTGAAACATATTTTTAAAGGCATTATATTCTATCATACGGGTGTCCCAAAACTTAACTTTGCTCTCACCTGGGCACTAAAGCTGTTTCAAGTTTTCATATAGTACAAAAAGTGTTGCAACAAATATACATAAAACTTGGGTTACACTGCTGCTTAATTTCTTAGGATCACTCAAGTAGACTGTGTGAATGGATTTGAACATTTTTACAGGCTTCCTGATACATACTCTTAAACTGCCCTTGAAAACAGTAGCACCGGTTTTTTAATGAATTTTAAAATAAATTTTATGAATCATTTGCTCCTATTTTTTAGTGCAACTAGATGCAATTTGAGTGAGAGGAGATTAAGTTTCTTGGAAAACAAATAGCAGAATTAGAAAAATAAATCCCATAATTAAATTAATTGACAAGTATGGTTTAACATATAATGGGCTTTATAGTCTATAAATTGTGTTCTCTTGAGTTATATTTTGGGTTTCTGACATTATTGAATTTTGATCATGCTGTTTCCTGTATTCTGATTATAAATTATTGGTATTTAGAATCCTGATGTAAGTTACCTCTGACTGTAGGATATAGTTCTCAATGGCCACAACAGTGAACCATTTCTGTAAATGAATGATACCTGGAGACAGAAAGTCTCTTAAGACAAATCTAAAAAATCTATGAAATGTTTCAAACTAAAGGCACCAATATTTGTTAAGTTATTTCAAATGCTATCTTGACACTAAAATAAAGCAAAAAAATAGTCAAATAAAAAAGGTAGAAGGGAGAAAATTGTAGGAAAAATGCTAAGAAGGTAAAAAGCAGAAAGATCACAGTAAAAAAAAAAAGAAAAGCAAACCAGGCACAGTGGCTCATGCCTGTAATCTCAGCACTCTAGGAGGCCAAGGCAGGAGTATTGCATGAGGCCAGGAGTTTGAGACCAGCTTCAGCAACATAGCCAGACCCTGTCTCTATAAAAAATAAGAAAAACATTAGTCAGGTGTGGTGGCATATGCCTGTAATCCCAGCTACTCCAGAGGACAGCTTGTACCCAGGAGTTCCAGTCTGCAGTGAGCTATGATTGCACCACTGCACTCCAGCTGGGGCAAGAGAGTGAGACCCTATCTAAAAAAAAAAGAAATGTTAAGACATATTCCACAGATTAGAAAATCTTATACAATGAGAACATTAATAAAGATAGCAGAGAGTAGGAAGAGGCTGGAGCAACTAAGAACTAAAATAGTGAAATAAACAGGCAGAAGAACATGAATAAATGGTGAAATATCACTTGATGATACAATATAGTGTTATATCTTCCTTTTGGCTGCACCATCATTCAGCCATCTCAGCTAAGTAGGACATTGCTGAGAACTAGAAAACAAGGAGGAAAAGGTTTTCACAATAGCCAAAACTGACAATCATACTATAAAAGTTCCAGTGCTTCTCTCATAATAATTTTAAATCCTTACTTTAAATAGAAGACTAAGAAGTTTGGCTATGTTTTCTCTGTCAGTAGCATATTAGAAGTAGTAAATCAGAAGCAAGGAGAGATTTCTAGAAACTGTTACACTGAAAATAACATCACATTTGCAAGTGATAAAGGACACACACCACCACCACCAACAACAACAAACTCGAACTGAAAAAGCACATAGTCTCAAAATATAGGAAGTGGGGATAAACAACCCTAAGCTTCATGATCAGCCCTAAATGCATCATAAAATGGCATCCTTAAGAGAAGAAAATGTTTAAATTATGATCAGCGAGTTCTGTTTAATTAAGATGGAAGGGAAAGACCACATTTTAAAGTGGTTTCCACTCTGGATGATTAAAAGTAGAGAGATAGCTTCAACACCTGCAAATTTTACGTATGTCAGATGTCTCATTCCCAAGCCAAAATAACTACAGTACAATAAAAATAATGAAACACGAGCTACAGTTGGTAAAGAAACTATAATTTTAAGCATGAAAAAGATAAAACCACATTTGAAAAATCTGAGTAAGGCAAGCATTGTGGTTAGCACCCTAGCACAATCTGCATCATATCCATCCATACACTGTGTACAATGACCTGCCCTCCTGAGCACACTGACATGTTACCTTTGCCTTGGCACGTGTGCTTTTGTGCCAGTTGAATCTTGGTCACTTTGTGTTCCTCCAAAAAGCTCAGAAACCACATCAAAAAAACTGCTATCATCTGGATCCCTTCCATGCTTCATACAGTACTAGAATTTGCACTTTTGCACTGTTACAGCAGAGAAGTGGAGTAATTTTAGTATTAAATCAATAATTTATATTTGGCAAAATTTTAAGTACTTACTATGTGCCAGGTGAACTGGCTCTGTGTAAATGTAGCAGATTTAATCATAGAAACTTAAAGACTCCAGAGTCATCTAAAATATGCAATTATATAATCAATTTTCTATTACTGTATTTTTCAACCAGTCTCCCCAACACTAATAAAGATGTTATACATGTATTTTTCATCTGGTATCATCATTGTTAAAAAAACAGACAAAATTCCAACTTTCCTTTTCTTTGTGTTTGAATGAAATATAATTTTTCATCTATATTATATTATCTTCCTCAGAAAATCATGCTGAATTAAGAGAGTATGAAAGAAATTTCAGCCCGAAAGAGTATATTTTAAGATACCATGTGAAAAACCTCAGAAGAGTATTTAAATAAAACATAATTTTTATTACAAAAAATATGCTGGTAATTTTGAAATGAAGATAAACTAGATGACAGTTGGCCAAATACATTATCTACTATCTTTCTTTAGATTATCTAAATCTATATCTAGTGGGCTATCTAGCTTTCCAACTTTCAATGTCATGATAACATGTAAGAAAAAGCACAGAAAACAAATACACCTATGAAGTAACCTTGCCCAAAAACTTGTACTTGAATTTGATCAAGCCTCTATATCTTTCAATTAAAAAAAAAGTAGGACACAAAGGAACAACACAAGGATGCAATCATCCAAATCCAGTCTAAGAGAAATGCTACAGGACAACCCAATTTTTTCAACAAATAAATTCAGAGTATCTCAACACTTCACTAAAACCCGCAACTTGAATCTCATCCCTCTGAAAGCTGACACTGAGTTTCTTACTCTATGGCTACTTGTATTATGGCACTCTAAACACTGTGCTGAAATTACATGTGTGTCTCCCATTAAAGCACTAACAGTGGGCTCTGAAGTTAGACAGCCTGAGTTGAAATTCCAGCTTTACCCCTTCAGTTAACTCATCTATAAAATGAAGAAAATAACCACGTGCTGCTTAAAGGAATTTTAAGGCTTCCAAAAGAAAATATACGTAAAACACCTAGCGCAATGCTTAGCATATCTTCAGCACTTATTAACTATCTAATGATTGAATAAATAAAAACCTTAGCAGCCAAATTAAATAGTTGTGAATTTCATCTCCTGTGATTTAATCTAAACACCTTCTTATAGTATCTAGTGAATAGTAAAATGCCAAGATAGTAAGAAAAACAATAGAAAAGATAACTGGGGAAAAAAAAATCCAGGCTATCAATTTCTAAATAACTGAGTCTGACTCTAAGGTATTAGAGTTAATCATAGCAAATACCTGATGAAGAATGGAATGATTAAGAAAAGGGCTAAACTTGACCAAATCTGGTATAAGTAAGCAAATTTATTTTCTAACTAAAAGCTCTCAACATAATCATCTTCAAGCACAATTTTTAATAATATGGAAAACATTTTAAAAAGGATTTTTAAAATGTCAGCATCACTGTTTTGAATCTCTTCAGTTTTCTCATTTTAAAAACCACTAACAATAAATTTTTCCATTTGAAAAATTTACACACTGTGAGCCAAATGCCGCATGGTGAGTGATGTGGTAATAAACAAAAAAGGCTCAATATAGCATCATCCAAACTTCTGAAAACATTCATTTAAAACTGTTTAAAAGTTCTAATTTGAAAATGAAATTTTTCAAATAATATGAAAATACTTACATCTCAATTTGTCCAGCATTTTTCCACCACACATGGTTGCTAACATAGCTTTAACTGAAAATACCGTCAACTTGCCTCGGCCCTCACTGAAAAATAAATTATATTAGAAATAATTGCTATCTGGAACCACAAAAGCAATCAAATGTATCACTAAATATTGAGCAACCAGTAAATTGATTCCTGCCCTTATATGTTACAATTTTACCACATTTAGAAACCCTGGATTTTTTTTCCTTTGTAGAATTAAGGCTTCATCTATGCTAGATGAAGAATGCTAAAGCTAACCTGAATTATCTGGAAGTGGGTTTTAGAAACATTCTGTAAAGTAATTTATATTGGCTATGTAGGCAGAGGCTAAACAGATGAACCTGGAGTAAATTTCCTATCAATTAGACCCATTAAATCCACATTTGCAGGTTTTAAGAATTCAAAACTGAGGGGCAACCTGGTTTGAACATAATTCAGAGAGCTGTCCTTGTATCAGGATATTATAACAACAGTTTATTGTTTTCTACTAAACAACAGGGCACACACTGCTGTAAAGATTTTATAGTACACTCATCTTTGTTTTTACTGTAACAATGTTTATGTTACCATGTGTTTATTCTAAGAAGCTCAATCACATCTGTCTCAGATCTCATATACCACAGCGAGAAAAGTGAAGGGGAAGGGATAGCAATATTATTCTTATTTAGGAACTAGAAAGATGAAATGTAGAAGAACATAAACGAATTGCCCAAAGTAATGCTGCACACCTCCAGCAGAACCAAGGCCCCCTGACTCAACATGTCTATGACTTCATCCATTCATCTATGCCCAGGTTTCATAGCAGATAAAAGCCACTAGCTGGTTGTGAAAGTTATCGTACGTAATAAGTTAACGACGGACTTTTATATTGATTTTTTTTTTTTTTTTTTTTTTTTTTTTTTTTTTTGAGACAGAGTCTCACTGTGTTGCCCGGGCTAGAGTGCCGTGGCGTCATCTTAGCTCACAGCAACCTCAAACTCCTGGGCTCAAGCAATCCTCCTGCCTCAGCCTCCCGAGTAGCTGGGACTACAGGCACTCACCACGTTGTCCAATTAATTTCTTTCTATTTTTAGTAGAGACGGGGTCTCGCTCTTGCTCAGGCTGGTTTCAAACTCCTGAGCTCGAACAATCCACCCGCCTCAGCCTCCCAGAGAGCTAGGATTACAGGCGTGAGCCACCACGCCCGGCCTGTATTGATTTTTAAAAGCTTCTGTTCATAAAGTTTCATAGTAACTTAGAGTAAAATACTTTTGCAATAAAGAGAGCTATATTGCCTTGGTTTTGAAAAGCATGTATCATCTTATTTATATTCACTAATGGTCTTAATGGAGTGTGTCCCATTTTCCTAACCATTTTTGTATACAGAAAGGTCACACCTGAAAAAAGGCGAATGGTCTATAAGCCAGAAAGTTCTCTGTGAAAACATCACCAGAAAATACCAATGTTTGTTATGGTAGCACTGTTAACTATTACATCTCCTAGAGTTTATTCATAAGATAAAATAAGAATCCCGCAACTGGCTAAAATTAGGGTGGGGTTTTTAAGATATATAGTTCTTCAGAAATAAAGATACTGCTCCATGTATAGGGCAATATGACACCTGGAAATGATAAGGAATATTCCTGTGTCAAATATCCACTGCATCATATGAGAAAAGTCAGTGGCTAAGATAGATCATTAGGTAAAAAGGAATGGATTTCTAAGGTTGATACAGAGCTTTTACGGTGGACTTTTTTTTTTAACACCAAACATCCAAATGCTGGGTCTACAAGACAAATACACTTCTCACTACTAAAGTACAAAGAAAGAAAAAAACCCATATCTTTGCTTTCCTGTCTTTCTTCAAAACTAGGACATGGGCACATGACACAGCTCCACCAATAAGATGCACTCACTCGACTTCAATAGGAAATGATTCACTTTAAGAAGCAGAAACTCCAGAAGAATCTACCTGGTGGGGATTCAGCACAAGAGTCGTTATGTCTGGTGTCCTGAGGCAGCAAAGACCATGATTCCTGGGGCAGCACCCAGAGCCCAGCATCAATATGTTTGGGGCACAAGCAGCAACGTCTATGCCCAGAGAGGTGGTAGAGGTGTCTTTATGAGACAGTTTTGTGGAACGATTTTGCACTTCGCTCCCAGTGGTGTAGTCTTCAAGCCTACTTTCCCAACCTTCCCAGAGAGTCTGTGGGTCACCCACATCCTTTTAATACATTAGCCAGAGATGCTTTTTATTACTTACAACTTAAGAACTCTGATGGATACAGCTTCCATCCTGAAATAAAGTGGCCCAGAAAGATGAGGGAACAAGAGAAACTACTGCTGAAGTCCAGAGTAGGACTAAGAGTGCCTGATGACCAGCAGAGCAAGAATGAAGAGGAAGTGCTCACAGACAGGAAAGCAAGCCTTGCTGCACAGCTATTGACGTTTTTTACGGTAAACTTGCATAAAACATGTCTGGCAGACACAAATTTCATGATGGAAGAATATCCAAGAAATCCCACTAACAAAAGAAAGTAAAAATGAATCTTAGAAGAGATTTCCATAATAATCAGGCTATTAGGTATATCTGAGAGAAGGCTGAAGCCCAGAAGGACATGCAGGGGCTTCCAGAGTGCCAACAGCACTCTGTTTCTTGACCTCTATAGTATTTATATGGATATTTGCTTTATAACAACTCATTAAACTGTACTTTGTTTTATGTATTTTTCTACAGATGTCTTATATTTCTCGATAAAAAACTGTTTAAAAAAAAAGAATCCTGGTCAGGCGCAATGGCTCACTTTGGGTAATCCTAGCACTTCTCGGGAGGCCGAGGTAGGAGGATCGCTTGAGGCCAGGAGTTTGAGACCAGGCTGAGTAAGAGTGAGACCCTGTCTTTACAAAAAATAGAAAAATTAGCCACAGGTGGTAGCGTGTGCCTATAGTCCCAGCTACTTGGGAGGCTGAGGCAGGAGGTTCACCTGAACCCAGGAATTAGAAGTTGCAGCGAGCTATGATGATGCCATTGCACTCAAGCCAGGGCAACAGAGCGAGACTTATTGTCTCAAAAAAAAAGTATCGCTTTAAAAAGAGAGAATATATGGGCCAGAAAAAAGTAAGTCATGTCTCTGGTTTTATTAAGCATTAAGCTGTAACCATGATCAATGAATATGCCTTTGGTTAATTCTGTATGATGCCTTTTTTTTTTTAACTTTAGAATGATGCACCAGGAACAACTACAAAGTACAAAAGATGAATCTATGGATGTGACACTTGTAAAGGGTAACCCTTTTTTTTTTTAACTTTTTATTAAAATATAATGAACATATAAAAAAGTACATAATTCATAAGTGAACCTCCTCAAAATGTTCCTTCATGAACACTGAAAGTTCATTCAATGAACTTTCACAAAATGAACACATCCATGTAACCAGAGTCAGGTCAAAAAACAGAACATTACTAGCACCCAGAAGCACCTCCTTCCTAAAACCACCTCCCACAGTGGTAACCTCTCTTTCTTGATTTCTAGCATCATAGGTCAGATTTGTCAGTTCTTGAACTTCAAATAATCGGAATCTTACAGTAGGCACTTTTGTGTCTTCTTTCTACCAACATAATATCTGCAAGATTTATCATGGTGTTACATATACTATTGGCTCATTCTGCTAGTAGTATTCTGTCATATGAATATACTGCATTTTATCCATTCTCTTATGGAGGAATATTTGCAAACCCTCTATTTTAAACTACTCTATGAGCATGACAAACAAAACATCAGTTACTGCCTATACTATAGATACGAATAAATACTTGTTGATTTATTGATATTCTTTACCAAAAAAAGAAAGAAAGAAAGCCACTTGTTGGTAAATATCAAACCACTGGCACAAGAATTAATAAGATTCTAAGGTTATGTATAGTCAGCCCTTGGTATCTGAGGGGTATTGGTTCCAGGACCACTGCAGATACCAAAATCCAAGGATATTGGCCCTTAGCCCTCCGTATCCGTGGTTAGCTAAATCCAAGGATGTGGAATCTGCAGATACAGAAGGTACTGGTAATGCTGAGGAGATTGACAATAGTCTTGAAGGAAAAGCACAGTACCTAGGAAATGCCTTCCTTCAGGAACCTATTGATCTTGAAAGTGATTATTATTGTTGGTTCTAATACTTAAATAAGTCTGGTGCTCGCTTCAGCAGCACACATATTAAAATCGGAATGATACAGAGAAGATTAGCATGGCCCCTGCGTAAGGATGACACACAAATTCGTGAAGCGTTCCATAAAAAAATAATGAAATGAAAGTAAGTCTGGATATGTCCGGAGTTATTTGAATAGACCAAGTAGAAGAGTTGGTGTAGAAATGCAATTATTTCTATCTCTCTATGCCAACTGGGCCCTTTGAACAAAAGAGACAGCATATTATCTAAACACAGAAAATGAGAGAAAAAAGCAGTAGAAAACTATTCCTTTCCTTTCTCAAAGAATTTACACACTCAAGAAGCCTGAAATGATGTCTTCAAATGTGCATATTCATAGTCATTTTCTGTAGCATATTTCTTCTGGCAAAAGACTGGAAGTAATCAACATCAAGATTGACTATGCTATTATTAAAAAGAATAAGAAATAATATATGAAAGATACAGAATTATATCCAAGGTAGACTGCTAAAAATCAAAAAATTTAAAAAACAAAGCAAGATGTAGAACAAAATAACTGCTAGAATGCTACCTAGCAATTACGTTAAAAAGGAGGGAGAAAAATAATACTTATATATTTGTTCATATATATCTGTGAATATATATATATGAAGAGATACTGAGAAAATAACAACATTGCTTGGCTCCAGGGTGGGAAGTAGGCAGCCTAAAGAGAGGAATGAAAAGGTGGGCACTTCTCACATTATAAATATTAAAAATGCTTATACTAGAAAAGAAAAAGACTCTCAAGTCAATAATCTAAGCTTCCAACTTGGAACATTAGAAAAAGAATAGCAAATTAAACGCAAAAGAAGAAAAATGGTAAAAATACTACAAACAAGAAATTAATGAAATTGAAAATAAAAAAATAATAGAGA